CTGGAGTCAGCCTTGAGTCCTCCTTTTATGTGACTTCTTACCTCGGAAATGACTTGGCTTAGCTCTTAGCTCTTTCAAAATAGGTCTATATTCACATAGTTCTTAACTCCGTCTCTGGTGTGAGCCACTCACTGCCAGTTCTTGCCCGAATTACTGCAACAGTATCTAAACTGGTGTTTGCTCCCAGTTTTGCTTGCTTATATTCCATATCTAATGGTGTCTAAAGTAATATTCTTCAAGCGTAAGGAGGACCATGTCCCTTAACTAAAGTCCAGTGACAATCCACCTCACTCAGAGAAAATGACTAAAGTCCTTGGCACGTGGCTCTGTAGATACCACTCTTAAGTCTCTCTTTATAACTCTCGCCCTTGTTCATTTGCTCCAGGAACACTGTCCTCAAACCTACAGATATTATCCCACCTCCCCCTATTCTTTTGGGCTTTGCACACACTGTTCCCTCTGCCTCCCTCTGCCTCCTCCTAGCTCTCCTCCTAGATAGCGTCATTGTGTCACCCCTTCGCCTCCTGCAAGTCGTTATTCGAAAGTCACTTTCACAGCAAACCCATCCTGCTCTTCCTACTTTAAATTGCAGCCTCTCCCAACCCTAGCACTTCCGCCTCCTTGTCTTGGGCAATTTTCCTTCGCCCATAGCACCTATTGTCTCCTACGTAGCATCTTCTACTGTACTACATGGCAAAATTCTATTTATATTCTGCTATGTGTCTTCTCTTGCTAGGGCGTAAGTCCACGAAGGAAGGGATCTTTGTGTTAGCCACTGATTTATAACTCAGGCTTCTAAAGCAGCCTCGCACTTACCATATATTCAAATAAATTTTATAAGTTCCCTGGTTCTGGAAATTTCCAAAAATAGCTGGATGGGAATTTGACGGCGATGAAGCCTTACAAAAGTGAATGTGGGTAAGAGCCGGGGAAAGCTGACAGTGCTGGTAAAATCATCTCACTAGTAACCACTGATGAAAGGTGCCCAGCGAAACTTGTGTTAATTATACCCTAATAATCCCTGATACGTGTGGAGGCTTTAGGGTGCACAAACCGCTTTCAGACTTCATTCTCCCAATAACTTTTTAGCCTTGCTATTCTTAACGTCAAGTTACACATAGTGAGTTGAACATAGCCATTCCCTTCTTAAACCTGCTAAGGTTATAGTAAAGGAGTAAACATGTTTTTAATTCACAAGAATAAAGAGAGTGGCAAGAAGATGATGAAGAAAATTAGCAGTGAGTTTTAGTACATGGAAATGTGTATGTGATGGATACAGATAGATAAATCAAAATTGACTGGGGTTTCAAGTTTCTCCACTTTGCTAAGTGTCTTAAGGAAAGAAACAGAATAATCAAGCAAGTTCGTGCTCTACCAACGCAGAACCGCTCAAGAATTAGAGGCAAGAGAGATGAAGAGGATTTTGGAAATGATGATGAACTTGACCTACAGAAAGACAGCACTGAAGCAGCCCAGAGAAGAGCCAGTTCCAACTGGACCATCACAGCAAACAGCTGTTGGAGAACAAGAGGTAGGATTAAGGAAGAATATGTAATGAAAATGTGGTGATAAATTAACTATCGGTAAATGGAAAGCAAAGGAACTGAAAACATAAGGTGATTATAAATCTGTGAAAAGTAAAAGTTGAATTAAGCCCCCAAATTTTTGTTATGAATAATGTAAGTAATTAACGTTGAATTATAAAATGGATGTTATTCATATTGACAAGGTAGGCAGAGGAGGGAAGTGTGTATGAGGGAAGGTGGCAGGCTATAATAAAAGAGTAAATCCTAATCTCAGATTGTGTGGAGCCAATGAATAATATCTAATTTTTTTTAGATCAGAAAATAATGGTAAAGTACATCATCTGGAAATTAGGTCATAAATATCTGAAACAAAATGCTAAAAGAGTTGAAAGTCATTTCCTCGAAGAAATGGGACTTGGAGATAATGCTAATGTGGAAAGAAGTGCTGATTTTCATCATGAGCCTACAGTACTATTTGACTTTTAAAAACAAATGCAAGTGTTACTTTAATACAAAAAAATACATAAAGTGAAATAAATAAATGTTTGGCAACTTTGTACTTTGCAATTGCAAACAAAGGAAATTATACCATAAGGAAAAATGTTAAACGTAAAGGTCTTTAGGTGGTGGGGCTACTGGTAATTTCATTTTTTTAATTCATGTTTTTGGATTTTCTAGTTGTTCAATATTGTTTGTACATTACTCTTATAGTTGAAGACCTCAGCAAAATTCTATTTAAAAAACACAAAAGAAATACATATATATACAAATATATAACTGCTTTCACTTAACAAATGAGAAAAATGGGCTTTGGAAAGATAATTGACTAGTTCAAGATGCATAGCTAATTAGTGTGAGACAAAACTAGACTATGTGTTTTGATCTTTCAATTCCTATTCCAGGTATTTTTCCACTATGATCTTTTATCTTCAAAAGTGGCTATAAAAATAAACATCAGAGAATGTGGGTTATAATTACGTTTATTTCAAATAAATGACTCTAAGGAAAGTGTTTTTGTTCATATCCTATAAGCTACGTATGTTAAAATCCATTCCAATTATAGAACAGGCAGCGGTTATAATTAATACCTAGAAAAGTGTAAGCACATCTGGAAACAGGGTTAATGATTCAGCAGCTGGAGTTTGATGAAGACATTAGTGAAAATCAGGGTTGAAGCAATTGGAATTTCTTTTTAAGTGACTTGCTTTATGTGTCAGTGTGAGTCTAACCGAAGCACATGCTTGGTGCGTGGGTAGGACTGGTGAAAAATGTTTGTTTTCATAGAGACTTTTCTGACAAAGATTTCTTATCAAGTATCACAGAGCACATTTTCATTTAATGCCTAAAAGTACTTTATATGTCAAATATTGTACAAGGTTCTGGGTATATTTCTCCAACCAACTTTTTGATAATACTAGAGTTTCCACCACTTTACTCTAGAGAACAGACAGACACTTGAAAGCTCTGTAGCATATGCTCTATATGGGCCACTGAAAACTACTGTAAATAATTAAATAGTAAAACTAATTTGGGTTGTATGATTTTCATGACATTTAAAGCAGACATTTAAAAAATAAACCTGTGTTCCTTTTCTGTTATCTCATTTCTGAAAATCTGTGCCAGTATCTTAGTTCATAGAAAGTCATTAAAATTCATTTTAACCTGGCTTCTCAGATTTTAATTCTGATAGGAATGGATTTTTTTTTCTTCCGTTGTCAAAGAGCATTCATTTTTTAAATGAGGTTTTCCTTACTGTTACAAAGTATAGCTTTTTCTTTGAACATCCAGCAGAGGGCATGAAAGCCTGTCTATGATTCTAGCCCAATAGCTAGATTTGATTTGATGGCTAAAGGAAACCACGAAGCTAGATTTTTGACAGACCCTAGCAGAATGGAATAATAGTGAGTTTCAGATTTGCAAAGAGGAATCTACTATTGTAGGTCATATAGCTCACAATGCAGCTGAGCATCAGGTGAGATGTCTGCCATCAGAGAGTCTAGGAAATTTGAAATATACTCACGCTTCTGAGGGTGACACCTGTGAGTTTGTGCTGCCTGCAAAGGCAGGGTAATTTGTGTATGGGATGCTCACGTGGTCCGTAACACATACAGCATTGACCCTAAGGGTCTAACCTATTTCTTTTTTACCTGACCATGAGGTCCCTTTTAATTTTCAGTTTTGTGGTTCCAAATCTGTTTCATTTGTGTCAGGAGCACAACTTTTATAAAAGACAACTTTAAAATTCAATATCTTTCACGGAAATGAAATAGAGCTGGGATAGGACTAAAAAGCATTCATGTGGACTATGAAATGAAACTCAACCAGAATATTATATTTAAGGTAAAATGTGGATTTCTTATATACAAAAAGGATTGTATATAAGAAAATGAGACAACGAAAATATGTTGGCTGTGAGTCCACTTCCAGTAGAGAATGACTTTTTTTTTTCAGATCAGAACAAAGGAGGAAAATAGAACATACATTCCAAAGGAATCTTTTACTTTTAAATTTATTTTGCTTTGTGATTTTGTATAAAATAACAATACAGGGTTTTTTTTTCATGTTCAATACTAGATCCTGGAAAATAGCATTTTTTTGTTATTTTACTAAATATAGCTCTGGGAAAATGAAATAAAAGTAATATCCTTTTACAAAATAGAATAATTTGGTGATAAACAAAATGTAATTTACATTTGTGCTTTTGGAAATATTTATTTTTTCCTTCTAATATTATGCGAGTCTAGACCAACTCTATGATTCATGAAGCAAGTAATGTGTATCAGTCAAGATGTCAGATTTTTATATTAGTAAGATGAAAAGCGGTATTCCCCAGAAACACTGAAGTTATTAACGAATGCAGGCATGTTAAGTTTCATTATCATGTTTATCAAGGAAAGATTTCCTCTTAGGAAAAATCTGTTTATGGATGCAGTAAGCAAAACTAAGAGAATTTCCCTTTCTCTAGTAATTAACATAGCTATATCTCTCTTTATATTAAGTAATTCATCAGTTTTTATTTTTTCCATCCGATATAAAAACTGAATTCATGTATCAATTCAGGTTATTCTCTCTATGATGCATCTAAATCTGGGTAAGTTTATAATGTTAAAAAGTCTTAGGTAACACTGGCTAATTGCTTTCTAGATTTAGAAGCCCTA